GGGAATATTGGAAAACGATAGCTCGTGTTCCGGTATGCGGCGACGGGTTGTTCGAAACACTCGAGCCAAAGTTACGCGGACGGCTCGGCAATACGACGGCCGCGTGCGTGACCAACAATATAATGTACGTCCCGAACGGGTCTCGGAAGAGACCGTGTGCGCAGAGCCGTATTTACGGGGGGAGCTGCAGGGTGCTGTTGCCCCGGGCGGCTGAATATCAGAGGGCGGCTAATTTTTTATATTTTCAATATTTAATGATCTAATATTTTTGAAGTGAAACTTCTTTAGAAAATAAAAAAGTGTATCTCAAAACAAAATACGTATAACGCCAATCACGGCGTCACGACACACACACACATACTCGGTGTAACGGTCGAGTGCTGTCGATGGATCCGAAGATTTACAAACAATCTATCCTTATGTTGACATTGAGGAACAGAATGAATGAAAAATAGAACCAGCAACGAATTGTTCCTCGGAAAGATCTTTTTCAACCGCAGAAATTTGTATTTGGTATAATGAAGCGTTTTTTTTTTTTTTTTTTGTCGTCCCCTGATGTCGAATTCTTAAATACGGCCCTGCGTGTGCGTGTGCTACGACCGCACGGGGGGGAACCGGGTGAAATGAAACCGTGCCGAAAGCCGGTCGCGCTCTGCACCGGCCGACAACCGGAAAACACCACGGCGTCCGCGCGGTCGCGTCCACGTTCGGTGCGCTGCTGCCGGACCGGTCGATTCGCCGGGCGTGGACGGTTAGGTGGGCCCCGTGGTCGCGGCCAGAGAAGCAAAACGAGAGAAGCAATCGCTGATGGTACCGTCGCGTCGTGCGCGTTATCGCGGAACGCGTCTCGCGAAAACGGCGCCGCGTCGGCGGGGCGCACGCGGTTATGGTTAACGGTAATGCACTTGGCGGTCGTATTTCCCGTGTTAATCGCATTACCTTTAGTTCTACGCGTCGTCTTGGCAATATCCGATTAGCGCGGGACGCGCGCCACGGGCAGTCCTCGCCCGGCGAGTCCGCGTCTCTTTCGGGCGACGATCGGCAATGCGACGGATACAATCGGTATAAAACCAACCGTTCCGTTGCCGTTTTCATCAGTGCACCTCACTCGAACGTTCCAGCATCTACTAGAGAGTTCTGCTTCTGCGCGAAAGGTAAGTGCGAAAGGTTCGGGACAAAACAAAAATAAAAAGAAAGAAATCGTTCGTAACGTTTTTGTTCTACGGTTCCGGGTACACCGTGGTAACCTAACGTTTTTTATACCTACATTCGTCGCGTTATTTTTTTTATTTTTCATTCGCAGAGGACAATATTTCTCGAAACGATGAACGACTCGAAAAAAACCGTGGTTTTTGCGCTTGTACTGATGGTGATTGGATCGGCTGTAGCGGACATGGCGGACGTGGGCATGTGCATCAGAAACTGCGCGCAGTGCAAGAAGATGTTGGGTTCATACTTTGAGGGACCCTTATGCGCAGACGCTTGCGTCAAGTTCAAAGGCAAAATGATTCCGGACTGTGAAAACATTGATTCTGTGGCACCGTTCCTAAACAAGCTCGAGTAATCTTCAAGAATGCATCTAATATAGTAAGAGTGATTACAGCAGTTATATGTTATGTTCTCGATTATAAACAAACACAGATTATGATTATATTATAATTGTAAAAATACTTAAAATAAATCAAGGAATCAAGGAATTTTTTGTTTTTCTTAAATAATATGTTACACCTATAGAATATGCAGTGGCAGCGATCCCTATGTGCAGGTACTGCGGATGTAACAGCTAACTTGGGTGCTCCCGTGATGGATAGGGTACAAGTTATAGCAATGTGAATTTTTTGATGTAGTAATGTTTCAAATTTGCAGTTATAACTCAATAAATTCAGTATTTATTGTATTTATACTCTGATTTTATTTATATGAAATACCATATGAAACAAACATCGGTGCCACTGTTAATATGCTATATACATATATATATACATTCTACACTTGGTTTTTTATTGAAAAGGCAAATTCAGGTAAACTTAATAGAAATTCTCAACTTCATATAATCGTTTTTAATTTTATCAGTATTCGAGTACGAGTAAATAAAGGTTGTTGAATTTTTTAAATTAAACAAATTACTATTCAAGTATTATTGAATACAACGGAAAATTTGTTTATCTAAATATCGTGAAATGATTTCAGTTTTGAAGAATTATTTAAAATACTATTCGACGCAAATTAATAAATAAACATACCCAAAATCGAAAAATCCTAAGTATTCCAGTGAATTTGTTATCTACGCAAAGTTCTGTGAAAAATTTGTTATTCCAATAAATTTAATATGAATTTGAATAACATATAAATTGAATACAATATTTTGAATACAGTTTGATGACATGTAAAAAACTGCCACCCTCCAAAGGATTATGTATGTAGAAAGTGTATGTGTGTATACGTACATATTGATAATTAAGTACCAGTACAGTAAACTTTATTATGTATATTTTTAAGAGCCTTGATACGAGATAAACGATTCTTTGATTACTTATATGGCTATCTTACCCAGAGTTATAATACAGTGTATTCACGCTAAAATGTATCACTAAATTTTTCAGTTTGATGACTTTGTATTGAAATTAAGTTTTCAGAGAACGAAAGGGAGTACCAAAATACACAATTTCAGCTAAATTTCAAATATTTGACTTTGACTGTACGTGTATGCATAATACAACTTACTTTTTTTTTAATAGCAACAACATTTATTTCTGCATATTCGAGTAGAGTATTTTTTTTAAAACAATTTTTGTATAAAAAGTTTTTTTCTAAATACAAAATTGGCAAAGTTGTAGTACCTATGTTGAAGTTTAATATTTATGAATAATCTGGTCTTAACAAAATTTTAATTATGTTCAATTTAATACTTGAAAATCAATATAAAATCTTCAATATTGTTAAATATTTTTTTGCAGATACATAAAATATAAAAAAAAAAACACTCATTTTTTATCGTAATTTACTCTAATTTTTTTAATTCATATTTCCGAATAAGATCACTAAATATTGATGGTAATGAAAATTACAAATATATATACACTATGAATTTTAAATTAAAATTTAATTATTTACAATTAAAGTTTCCGCTTTGATGTTTCTATCACGATTTCAAAAATTTTACAATTTTAAATGTGGCAGCGTTTATTTAGTATTCTCTCAAATTATTAAATGCCAATTTGTTTAAATATTAGACATAAATAGGTGATTCCGCATACCCAACAATATTTTAAATGTCCCCATAAATGGGATAAAGTCTGGGGATCTTGAAGACCATGAAATTATTCCATGGGTATCAATCCATCGACTAGGAAAAATGTAACTTAAATTTTGTCGAACAATGATGGCGTCATGTGATAGTGTATCCTGTAAATGAGCTGCACCTGTTTTACCCAGGACGATACTCAAAAGAAACTGCAGTCACTTGAATACTAGGAGACTAGGCTACTGAAAATGTGTATTTAAATTATGTCGTTCTAACGACGCCACTGAAATCACAGTGACATGTCAGTCTCCTCGCAACTCTTGTTGTTCGAATTTCTTTGAGGCTCACACATTTTCTCATATTAGTGTCCGTGTAATTTAAACTAGGAATAATAATTTCTGTCAATTCTAGGTAAGTTTATTTTCTCATTCTGTAAAACGCAAGACATTGGGAATTCTATTCTTGTAATTCCTTGACAGCGACGAACAGTCGGCAGTTGATATTTTTTTCAATATAAGGATTGATCCAGAATTTTTTTTGCTTTTTTTTGTATAATGTTTATAATAATGGTACAGAACAATATGTTCATTACTACTACTTAAAGGTATTACAAATATTAAAAAATAATACAAAACAAATCAACACTATGAAATATTGAAAACAATACTGAAAACATTCATTGAAATCGCGAGTCGACTCTAATTTGATAAACCGTATGTGAGGATCACTGGAAACTTCAGTCGCCTAGTTGCCTAATCTTCTAGTATCCAAGCGAATACAGTTTCTCTTGAGTATCGTCGTGTAAGAAGGCTCTAACTGTAATTGATTTTTCAAGAAAATCTGGATATCTTTTACCTCTAAGTGTCATATCATAAAAATTAGCACCTAAAAGTTTTCTACAGATTAACCCAAATCACAAATTTATACCCTCAACACCCTGAAAGTTCGTTTTACGAAACCAGTATGGATTCGATTGTCCCAAAATCTATGATTTTTTTTATTCATAATATCTACCATTATTTGTAAATGTAGACTCATCTGTCCACCAAATGTCACCAGAGTCTTCTTTATTAATGTCTTGTCTATCTACGAACAGATATTTCAAGTATTAAATTGAACATAATTAAAATTTCGTTAAGACCCGATTATTCATAAATATTAAACTTTAACATACCTCAACTTTGCCAATTTTGTAATTGGCAAAAAACATTTTGTACAAAATTGTTTTAAAAAAAAAATTCTTTGCTTGATTATGTAGAAAAAAAATTTTGTAGTCATTTAAAAAAGTAAGTAGTATTACGTATTCATATACAGTCAATACATGCATGCAATACATGCATAACAGAGTCAAAAATTTGAAATTTGGCTGAAATTGTGTATTTTGGTATTCCCTTTCGTTCACCGAAAATCCCATTTCAATAAAAGGCATCAAACTGAAATACTTAGTGGTACCTCTCAACATGAACACACTATATACTCATATCAGTGGCGTACTCACGGAGGGGGGGGGTCATGGGGTTTGAACACCCCCTCCCCCATTGGCTGTATTTTTTTTAAATTATTCCAATAGTTTAATAATAATTGATTATTGATGTTATTGATTATAATTTAGTGGTTTATACGTCATTTTTACCAGTATCACGGTTATCAAGTTGGGTTGGAGCACGACCATAGAACATATTCTATGACACGACCGCGCTATCAATTTAACAATTTGGTGACAATTTGTGATAGTGTGGTTTTTTAAAACAGTACAATATTTGTAATTATTATGACTATGGGCGGTGTGGGGGCAGAGCCCCCACTTTTGTATTCTAGTAAATTTTCAGAGCCCCCCCCCCCCATTGAAAATTCCTGAGAACGTCACTGACTCGTATATACAGATATATATACAAATAATGTACATGTGGCATTGGTTTCTTTTTTCATTATTTTTTGTTTGCCAAGTATTTTAACAATAGTGAAAAATTTGTTGCCCGAAAAATTAAAAATAACATAATAATTATAATTTTATTTTGAATTACTATACTTGTATCTAATACGAAATTGACCACTAATTAGTATAGTATATAAAGGTTTTCAATTTTCGACTGTTGAAAAGTTACAATTTTAAGGGTCGTCTTAGTGATAAATACAACTTGATTAAATTATAATATCGGTTTTACTATATGAAAATGATGTGTACGTGATTGTACCGTGGTCCCTCTTTGTTTCCAAACCGTATAGTGTGGCATACCAACATGTGGTTATTAAAATATAATATGTAAAATGAAATGTAATGTTTAATTGACATAGTCACTTAATACTCTTTTAATGGACGTAATTTCGAAATTTAGAAAACTAAGGAGATATAAGTCGACTCGGTGGCATCTCAAACGATTTCGTTTTCGTCAGTAGAAAACCACAAAAAAAAAAAATCATAATTTTTTTATATGATAATAATTTGTTTTTTAAGCATTCTTTGGAAATTGAATGATTGGTTTTTATATAATTAAGCGATTAACAAAAAAAAAAAAAAAAATTGTTATCAAAAATGTACTGGTCGTCTCGCCCAATAGAATCTAACAATGTTACAGACAGTCATTATGCGATATCATAAATGGATCGATTAGTTAAACGTTGCGCGTAACCGTGAAACCGAGTTGGGGTCCTGCTACACTGCGGTTTTTTCGCCGTTCGTATGAACGGTTTGTCGCCGCGGTTTTTCCGTTCTCAAAAAAGTACACATGTTTAAGTTTAGTGCGCCATACTATAACCGTTTGACCGTTCGTCGCCGTCCGTCGCCGCTGCGTGCAACGGTCGGGCGGCGAAACCGTCGATAATAATTCCGCCGTTCGTTCCAAAAGTACATGATTTTAATTGTGATACGCCACATTGCGGTACGTTTCAACGGTTTCCACGGTAATCCAAACAATTTCATAATCCCCATTAAATAACTAATAGGTGGGTACCCAATAATGAAAATTAAAAATATCATAAGACCTGAATATTTTTAAAATTAATTATGCAAGACGTTTATACATATGTTATGTTATATTGTTACTAACCTACAATCTTTATAAGTTAATATTTATGTGAATTTTATACACTTATAATATTATTATGCATATCGTATGTTTATAAATTATAAATTAATTAATAAAAATAAACAATTCATGAATACTTAAATTAAAAATTAAAAACGTTAACAAGACAAAAAGCACGAGTGGACAATAGGAATTCAGCGGCGAAACGACACTCCGCTATTATGGTGTGGCGCAATGGTGAGAACGGTTTAATGGCCTCGACGGTAAAACCGTTTAAGACTCGACGGCGAAAAACCCGCAGTGTGGCAGGACCCTAAAGGTATTCGAAACGGCTTCAAACAGACAATAGACGTCTAACTTTTAATTATACATTTTAAGAAACACAATTAATGTATACATAGAGCGATTAAATGCAAGCCACACGGCC